GTTACTGTTTTTCCTGTTGATTTATCTGCTTATGTTCAAGGTCTTTGAGTTTGCTTCTTCTTAGAGTCTTTGGTACTTTTAGTCTTTGTCTATCCTACCCACCATCTCTTATTGTTTTTATCACTCAATTCTGATTCCCTTTCCTTTGATAAAGTTTTTCTTGGGAGCTGGATTCTTCTACACCAGAGAATTCACAGATCACTAATCTACATTCCTACATCAACTGATTTCTGGATAGTTTCATAAGTACAAAAACTGGCCCCACCTGAATTATGTACTCTTCCCTCCAGCCTGGTGAAATGTGTGGTTGCATGTGTGCTCATATTAAAAATTTATTTTATTATGCAACTTGTTAATTTCTTCTACCATATTTGTGTCATGATTATGATTGTTGATATTATGAGGGGTGGAGGATGAACAAGTTTGAAATGCAGTCAATGACATTATTGTAGAGATTGAATAAGAACCTGACAAACTTTTCCTTAATTTTTTAATGTGATGTTAATTATATTTCTCTTTGCTAAATCAAAAAGAGTTATCTAAATGACAATATACATGGAGGTATAGAAACCTACTTTTTTTTTGTTTTGTTTCTGTCAATTATTTGAAACCACTTGGGAATTCTGAGTATTCACAACCCCCTAAATATGAATATGTTTTAGAAAGAAACTGACTGAATGGTTTAACAATAGTAGGGATGTAAAACACTGATCAAAGAAAGGAGGAAGAAATCAAATAAAAGTTTGGCTATTAAAAAGGATGAAACAGAAATAAAACATATTTTTCTTCACATATTGCAGAACCATATCTGAGACTAAAAAGATAACCCTTTCTGTCCCTAGTTTTATAAACATCCTTTCAGTAGAAAACTGCAAGTTCTCTACTTAGTTTGTTTTTTACATATTTGCATGCACATGGTATCCCCATTAGATTGTTAGGTCCTTGAAAGATGGGACTACCTTTTGTTTTTCCTCATATCTCCAACATTTAGCAATGTACCTGGTGCATGATAGGTGCTTAATAAATGCTTATTGACTGAACAACTGAATGCAAGCCACTGGAAATATCATCCAAGATTAATCATGTTTAATTAGAAAACACCGGTGGCTTGTTAGACTATTAGTTTCCCTCACATCACTTTTATTCCCTCCCATCAATGACTTTGACAGTGATTATTTTATTTTCTGAGCACCATATTGTAAAACACAACTTTTCTTGACCCTAATGTAATACAGTTGATGCTTAAGTAGAATCTAGTACTAGGTAAGGCTTTCCTGCATGAATTGTAAAGAATGAATCTTCCTTCACAAATATAAAGCACATTAATCTTTGGTAGTATTAAAAAGCAATTAGCATTCATAACTACATTCAGTATTTTAAAATATAATTAGTGAGAACATGGATTTTTTACAGTATTTTCAAATATATTCTTCTATTATCTTTGAATAATTCTATTTGAGCTTGTCTGGAACAAGCCTGTGGTTCTGTATTCATAGACACAAGGTTTATTGGTCACATCACATGGTGACACAACAATTTCAAAAACCACTATGAAGATTGTGTTCAAAATAATTGGTAATGTCTAGCTACAAAGTTATAAGAAGAAAAGTGTTCCTGGGATGATAATGATGATGATGATGATGATGATGATGATGATGATGATGATGATGATACCTGTTTATACAGTGCTTACTCTGTGCCAGGTAATATACTAAGCTCTTTACAAGTATTTTATCATTTGATCCTCACAATTCTAGCAGAAAAATGTTATTATTATCCCCATTTTACAGATGAGGAAACTGAGGCAAACAGTGGTTGGCCAAGGTCAGACACCTAGTAAGTGTCTCAGGCCAGATTTGAACTCAGGTCTTCCCGACTCCAGGCATGGCACTCTATTTACTCTGACATTTAGTTATCATCTTGACTTGAACATAGTGATCAACTTCCATAAAAGTTACAGTCAAAATTATGGTTAAAATAATTTTGATTCTCCAGAGATCAATTCAATCTACCATAGAGGGAAATAATTAAGACACTGATTCATAGTCCCATCATCTCTCAATGTGAAAAAGATTCAAACTTGCTGACACAAGTCTTGTTACCTGACTTCATTACCTTTACTTTCTTTCATGTTACTTGTGCTTATAACCATGTGTGTGTTCCTGAGATTACATGTGACCAACCACATAGACACATGAAACACTGATGCATACTGACATGCATACACACAGTTTATTTCACTGTTGAACAATTTACTTTTGCAGACTCTTTGTATTATTCAGACTAGTAGTTATTTCCAAATTAATGATAGTTTCATAAGTACAAAGCAGTTAAAACTAGGGAAACACTTTGCTAGTTGTCTCACTCCGAATATGCTTTTGTTTGAAATTGGGTTACTTTCCAGAGATAACAATGACAACTATCTAGATATCACTAATGTGCTTCAATGGCAAAAACTTTCCTTTGCACAGCTCGTCTAAAAAGGGGGCAGGTATAGACCCTAATATGCTACTCTGTTAGAATGCTAAATCAAATGAATGACATAAGACAATTTTAGTATAATTAATTAAATTAGTGTAATTAAATTAGTTTACTTAATAATTAAAGGGGATTGTTTTCACTTTATGTTTGACAGCCATACCCACTATTATTAGCATTAACAAAGGGAGTTTTTAGTTAACTCATCAATAGATGTTAGCAATACTAATGAAAGAAAACTACTAAAGAGAATCAATCAAGGGATTAATAAATTTTATTTTTCTCTTAGGCTTAATAATAATAATAATACATTTTATTGACAATTGCTATCATATAGCTAATATGTCTTGGTAAATACTTTATCATCCTGATGACACACACTTATTGAAAATATTTTAATTTCTCTTTATATTTAATGTGGCCCACAAGGTTATTATAAAATTTTTCATTGCTTCCTTGCAACCAATTAAATATCAATATTAATGGTCTAGCAATGACTGAAGAAAATAATTCAATTTGTTTAAAGTTATGCTCTGATAAAACTTAGCAAGAAACTTGTCTTAAAAATTCTTAGTTAAGAGCCATCTCTTAACCAAGAGTACACTCAAATACACAGCTGCCATTGAACTAGATATTCTGAATTGGGTGGAAGTGCCACTGGAATTGGTTTGCACTTTCCAAGGATTAGTGCTTGATTTAGTATCCCTTTTTAAACACTTCAGGTTGCAGGTGTTGCTAGCTGAGGTTTAATAGCTGCACTCTCTAAAAAACAACTTAGAAGAAGTAAGTTCTCACTGTTTAGGGAGTTCATGTTGAGGAATATACATGAAACATTTGATAAATGTGTTTCCATAGCAATTAACAATTATGAATAGCATCAATGTGAAAAGAAAGAGAATACAAAGGAATTTATAAGTAAAAGGAAAGAAAGAAAATTAAATATGAAAGTAAAGTATAGGAGTATAAGCTAAAGAACACTCAAAACAAAACAAAACAGAACATCATGACAGAAGGTGGGAAGCATTGTTCCCAAACAGGTTTAAGATGATGGGATGATAATCACAGAAGAGTTTTTCAAGGCATTGTAGGAATAAAAAATAATCAACGTTGGGAAAACTATATTAGTAATAGTAAGATTTTCCTGACCACTATAACTTTTTAGTTATATACTCTCATAATTTTTGGGCTACTTAATAAAGCCCTTCAAGTGACTAATGATTTCATCAGGGTGGAAGCTCCTTCCAGTCATGCAGATTGGAACCCCTTGATTTCTTAGTAGTGGTGTTATATTTTATCGTGATGGGAAAAAAATCACTACTTATGAGCCTCCTTAAATGAGTGAGGATGATCTTCAGAAAAGAAATCTTACCAGATTTATACCAAAAATGTTCAGTGGTTGGGCAATAAAAAATATGGATTTTTTATATTAACAATATTAAATTTCAATATTTGGCTAACATATACATATATTTTCTTATTTGAAGTAGATTAGTTACTCTAAGAAACCAGATAAGAAAATATTCCCTTCAATAATGATACTTTGTATAGTAGATCTTACCTGTTTCAATAGCTGTTTATTATCATTAACTTTTTCAGTTTTGCTTGTCATTAAATTTTACTTTTACCTTAAATTACTTCAATGTTAAAATGTCATGACAGGTTGCTGTGGTCTCTGAAGACCAAGTTTTAAATATGGTGGCAATTATCACAGGATTAGGAACAAACCTGCCATCCATTCATTAGGGTATGCCTAAATAGCCTTGGTATATTTAAGTATCAATAATAAACAAGGAGCAAGAGCTACTCTGGAAAATATGGGTAAGAACTGATATAGATTAAAGCATAACTAGGAGAAAAAATACAGAATTAGTATAACATTATAAATGAAAGCAACATTTAACAGCAGATAATTCTGAAATTCTAAAAAAAATATTTCAGTAAAAGAGAATACATGATGAAATTCTCCTCCCTATTCTCAATAGCTGTGGAGAACTAGAGATATGAAAAGTTAAAAACAAAATCTCACAAAATTGTTTCATTGCTTTTCATTGTTATAAAAGAGGATTGAATGTGTGATGGTATGTGTGCCAGGAGAGAAGGGAAAAGACTTTGGTGTCAAAACAAAATGTTATAAAAATATTATCATGACATTAATTATAATGATGATATAGATAAATTCAAACATAAAAAATTACTAGAGGGGAGATTACAATAATTTTATCCAAAATTCCATAAAGATGTTAACACCTAGCAAGGATATTATAGGAAATAAACATCAAGGAAGTTTCACTTAGCCTTGAGTCTTTGTTAATGGATAGAATTTTTTTTCCCATTCTTGCAAAAGACTAGCAGAACATACAACATACTACTTAGAGGTTTCCTTATCTTACACTGCCAACTTTTCACCTGCCATACTTAAATGAAGTGTTATCATTGAGGCATGAAAATTATCATTATCTCAAGAGTTCTTGAAACTGAAACCAATGACACATAAATAAGTAAAGTAATTATCTATTACTTACAAAAGTTGTGTTTTCCAATAATAATGTGGTGACATTTGTTTCTACATTCAGTTTAATGACATGTCCATTCCCGTTTTTATACACCACATCTGAATCTGCAACAACAAAGACATTAACATTTGACAATGACATTGACTAGTTAATATAATAACTGTGAAGGAAAAACTGTGCATATTAAACAGACTTATTTGAATGGCATTGTTACCCTCTGATAACCTGAACAAATTCTGGTCCTTGGATCACATTAATCCCCTTGAATGGTTGTGAAACAATGCAAACATAATAATTATTATGAAGTGAATAACAGGGTTACTTAGAGGTCCACTCAGATTCCTGGTAGAACAAATGAGAATATGTTAAAAGAAAGATTATGGGGCCAGAGAGAAAGAGTTCTGCTGCCCACTGTGTGAGAGAGGAAGATGAAGAATGGTATCCTTTGTCTCTAAGAGTTTCTGACTATACTATTAGTTTTGAGTTGCCAGTAGTGTTTTCCTTAGGAAATAATTAGAGATCAGTTTGGAAAGAGGAAATATGACTCCCTTCTGCTTTGTACATGTTGAGTTTGAAGTGCCAAAGTTACTTCTAGAAGAAGGCATGTCCAGCAAATAATTCAACATATCTTACCATATCTCTGGGGAACACCCATCCTATGAAGAGTTTGGGAGTCAATCATTATGTAATGGCAGTAATTGAAAACAAGATAGCTGATGAGATTGCTAATCATTGTGCCTTATAAATATAACCCAAAGAATAGCTTAACTAGGCCTCCCAACTTGTTAATTCTGCCCATATCAACTCTACTCTGAGTGGAAAATATGAATTGTTGTTGTTGGGTTTTTCTTAGGCATATTGCTGAAAGTGCACTGTTTTTAAAATATATGGACCTAACAAATTTTACTGTTTTTTTAGGCAATTGGGGTTAAGTGACTTGCCCAGGGTCATGTATCTAGTGAGTGTCAAGTGTTTGGTCTGAGGTCGGATTTGAACTCAGGTCCTCCTGACTTCAAGGCCAGTGCTCTATCCACTGCTCCACTCAGTTTCCCCAAGGTTTTACTATTTTAAAAAAATGGTTTGAGGCTTCGTTGTTGTTCAATTGTTCAGTGGTGTCCAACTCTTCATGACCACATGGACCATACTGTCCATGGAGTTTTCTTGGCAAAGATACTGGAGTCATTTGCTATTTCCTTTTCCAGTGTATTAAGGCAAACAGGTTAAATGACTTGCCCAGGATCACACAGGCACTAAGTATCTGAAGCTGGTCCAGGTCCAGTTCTCTATCCACTGAGCCACCTAGTGGAGTGATTTGCCCTTTCCTTTTCCGGTGTATTAAGGCAAACAGGGGTTAAGTGACTTGCTCAAGGTCACATAGGTAGTAGGTTTTTGAGGTTGGATTGAACTCAGGTCTTTCTGACTCTAGGCCCAACACTCCTATCCACTGAGCCACGTAGTTTACCACTCAATAATATATCATCCTTTAGAAAGTAATTGATTATTTGTGAATGGATATTTTCTGAGCTAAATTCTTTCTAAGTAATAGGGAAACATATAAACTAAAGACAAGTAAGCTATGACAGAACCCCACCCCCACCCCCACAAAAAAATAAATAAGCACATTGAACTTAAACCAGAATCTTTTGTCAGGTGAAGGAAAAGTCATTCTAAGGTGCACTTGAGTCTTTAAAGTACTCAGAACTTTTCCAAGTTGATGATGATTTGACTCTATGGTCTTAAAAATATTTTACACTTTGTTAGAACATTGATTCTTCCCTAATTTTTTTTTGCTGATGCAGATTGTTATTGCTTTTCATCTTTTCTTATCATCAACATCTTTCTCCTATATTTCTGTCTAGCTTGACAATTTGATTCTAATTTCCTGTGTTGCTAAACTCACTTTTCATTTGCTGTTTCTGATTCCTATATATCCACTCAAAAAATGGTGACCTGACGTCTACCTCTTTTTGCTTAATTTTTTGATGTTCTTGTCCTTGGACCCTATCTCTCCTTTGATCAAACTATTATAAACAATTTTATAAAAAAGACGATGTTCTATTGTCAGATCACTCTTAAGCACTAACCTAAATCAAGAAGTGGAAAGGACTGTGACCTTTCTACCTTTTAGACAGAAAAGGTACAGAGTTATTTTCATAGAGAACTAATTTCAATAAAGATTATTGATCTGTGCCTTCTTGAAGGGGGATGTTTAGAAGACTATTGATGATTCCTTCTCAGAGAGATAGGTTACTTTATCACCTCTATATTCATACTTCTAAGGATTAAACTGACTACACAATACAACACTAAGTGGATGAAGATAGAATAATTAAATAGGTATGGGAAAGGCTAAAAATCACATTCTTTCTCCAGTAATCCAAATTAGCTACAAACCTAAAAAAATATAAGTCTAGTAAGCCCCAGATGATTCTAGATGTTTAACTTTTTTCCCTAGTTACTTGTAAGATCAATTTTTAATATTCATTTTTAAAACTTTGAGTTCCAAAATCCCTCCCTCTCTTCCTCCTCATCCCTCTCCTATTGAGAAGTCAAGCAATTCATATAGATTATATGTGTGTAGTCATGCAAAATACTTCCATAACAGTCACATTGTGAAAGAAAACATAAACAAAAAAACCCTCAAGAAAAATAAAGTAAAAAAAAAATATGCTTCAATCTGTATTTCGACACCATCAGTTCTTTCTCTGGGGATGGATAGCATTTTTCATCATAAGTCCTGCAGAGTTGTCTTGGATCATTGTATTGCTGTGAATGACTAAGTTAGTTCATGCAAAGAAGGTTCTTCTGAGAGCATCCTGCTCATCATTTCTTATGGTCCAATAGTATTCCATCACCATCACATCCACTACTTGTTCAACCATTCCCCAATTGATGGGCAATCTCTCAGTATCTAACTCTTTGCTCCTAGGGAAGAACTGCTATAAATACTTTTGGACATATAGGTCTTCTTCCTTTTTTTAATTTATTTTAGGATACAGATCTACTATTGGTATTGCTAGGTCAAAGGATTTGCATGGTTTTATAGCCCTTTGGGCATATAGCCCTTTGGTCAAATTGTCTGGTTGAGTGATTGAATCAGTTCGAAACTCCACCAACAAAGCATTAATGTCTCACCTTTCCCACATGCTCTCCCATATATGTACTTTACTACTTCTGTCTTATTACCCAGGTAGTACCTATAAATTATCTCAATTTGTATTTTTTAATACAATGCTGAGTTATAGTATTCCTTCATATGGCTGTAGATAGCTTTGATTACTTCATCTGAAAACTGATCATATCTTTTTATCATTTATCAATTAGGGAATGGCTCTTATTTTTTTTTAAATAAATTTGACTCAGTTCTCTATATGTTTGAGAAGTGAGGACTTTATCAAAGAAACTTGCTTCAAAATTTTGTTTCACAGCTACTATTGTTAATTATATTTATCTCCATCCTATCCCTCCCTCATTTATTCTATTCTTTCCTTCCTTTCACCCTGTCCTTCCTCAAAGGTGTTTTGCTTCTGACCACCACATCCCCTGATCTGCTCTACCTTTTATCACACCCCCTATTCTTTCTCTTATCCCCTTACTCTTCTACTTTCCAGTAGGGTAAGATAGATATCTATAACCAATGCAAGTGTGTATATTATTCCCTCTTTGAGCCAATTCTGATGAGAGTAAGGTTCACTCACTTTCCCTTACCTCCCCCCTCTTTCCCTCCACTGTAAAAGCTTTTTATTGCTTCATTTATGTGAGATAATTTACTCCATTCTACCTCTCCTTTTCTCTTTCTCCTAGTACATTCCTCTCTCATCCTTTAATTTTATTTTTTAGATATCATCCTTTCACATTCAATTCACACCTATACCCTCTGTCTATACATTTTCCTTCTAACTACCCTAAAAATGGGAAAGGACTTATGAGTCAGAAATATCATCTTCCCACATAGGAATGCAAAGAGTTTAAGTTTATTAAAGTGCCTTATGATTTCCCTTTCCTGTTTACCTTTCTATGCTTATCTTGATTCTTGTATTTGAAAGTCAAATTTTCTATTCAGCTTCGGTCTTTTCCTCTATCTCATTGAATATCCATTCCCCCACCCACCCCACAAGGATTATACTCAGATTTACTGGGTAGGTGATTCTTGTTTGTAATCCTAGATCCTTTGCCCTTCATAATATCATATTATAAATGCTCTGATCCTTGAATGTAGAAACTGCTAAATCTTGTGTTATCCTGACTGTGGCTCCATTGTACTTGAGTTGTTTCTCTCTGGCTGCTTCCAATATTTTCTCCTTGACCTGGCAACTCTGGAATATGAATATAATATTACTGGCCATTTTTATTTTGGGATCTTGTTCAGGAGGTGATTGGTGGATTCTCTCAATTTCTATTTTATGCTCTGGTTCTAAAATATTAGACAGTTTTCCTTGAAAATTTCTTGAAAGATGATATCTAGGTTCATTTTAGAACATGGCTTTCAGACAGTCCACTAATTTGTAAATTATCTTTCCTGGATTTATTTTCCAGATCAGTTGGTTTTCCAATAAGATATTTCACATTGTCTTCTATTTTTTTCATTGTTTTGGTTTTGTTTTACTGTTTCTTGATTTCTCAAAAAGTCATTAGTTTCCTTTTGCTCCATTCTAATTTTTAAGTAATTGTTTTTAGTGAGCTTTTGGACCTCCCTTTCCATTTGGCTAATTCTGCTTTTTAAGGCATTCTTCTTGTCATTGCCTTTTTGGAACTCTTTTACTGTTTGGCCTACTTTGTTTTTTAAGATGTTATTTTCTTCAGTACTTTTTGGGTCTCCTTTACCAATGTGTTGACTCATTTTTCATTATTTTCTTGCATCACTCTCATTTCTCTTCCCAATTTTTCCTCTACCTCTCTTACGTGGTTTTCAAAATCCTTTTTGAGCTCTTCCATGGCCTGAGATTCATATTTTTCTTGGAAGCTTTGGATGTAGGAGCTTTGAATTTGTTGTCTTCTTCTGAGTGTGTGTTTTGATCTTCCTTATCACCATAATAACTTTCTATAGTCAGAGTTTTTTTCCCCATTGTTTGTTCATTTTCCCAGCCTGTTAGTTGGCTTTTAG